AAAAAGTCGGTATGCAGTGACGGGGAAATAAGAGACGACAGTGCTGCGCTCTATCTCACGATCCAAATGAACTATCGTGATGAGCACATAGACATAGTATATATATAGACTGCACGTTCCCTACTTTACTCGCATGAAAACATGTGCCAACTTTAGAACGAGATAGCTGGTGTTCGCTTGTATCTTTATCTTTGTCGAAATGAAGTAGTGGGGGTAAACAAAAGAGTAGAGGAACGATAGATAGACAGAGAAAGAGCTACGACGTAAGGCACATGTTGTCTCTTTCTCAGGTGTGCAAACGTCTGCAGCCACAATGCGCAGTCTATATATACTATGTCTATGGATGAGCACGATGCAGTGTATGTATGTTTTCTCGGGGAGGTTAGAGGACATGAGTTCGTTCTTGTTACAAAGATTTTGATGAAACAGAAACGAAGAGATGCTATTCTCTCAATATTGACTTCTTTCTACAGTTAATTATCTTACATGCAGTAGGATTGGGAACGTTAAGTGGAATAAGTTACACTGTGATAAATTGTACTGTTTAACGTACGTATTGTAAAAGTACATACATATATGTATATTGAATTTTGATTAATTTAAATAATGTTAAACTTACGTTTTTAGATAATTGTAAGCTTGTAATTTTTAGGCGTAGGAGAAATGACGCTACTTTGTAAACTGTATCAACCGTTATGGTTTCGTTCTAACAAGTTTCACAAGAGTGTATATTCTTTAACCACATTAGTCTATACGAACACTACGAATAATTTAGATTCCATTGTTACGAAAAATGCAGATACATTTAAGGAAATGACGGGAGGTTCATTGACTGTAAAATGGAAAGACTTACGAGAGAAAATCCTTCACCAAAATAACGAAATCACACCAGCCACTGTAGACTCCACAATCATAGATATGTGTCTTAGATATTCCTACTTGGATAATGCTATCGCATACTTCAAATTCTTGAGGGAAAACAATTATCCCCTGAATATGGCAGTGATTGGAAAATACCTCAGACTCTATGCTTGGAAAAAGCCAAACTCCTTGACTGACGCGGATAAAGTAGACATTGTAGAAACTTTTAATGATTTGATACAGAAGCATCCGTTACTGGATTACATTACAGCTGGACATTGTGTAGTGAGCTTATGTTTGACGGATGAATGGTTGAAGACGCAAGAGATAATAGAGATGGTGAAACTTACCTCTAGTCCAAATTCCATGATGTATTCTGCCTTGGCTAGCGCAGCATTTAGAAATGGAAAACCTGACATTGCATGGAAAGCATTGTCAGATCTAGTGTCGTACAAACTAACTCCAAATAATGCTGTATATGAATCACATCTACAATATTGCCAGTTTGACGATGCGAAAGCTTTTAACAGTAGAATGGAAGAGATGTTTAATTTATGGGCTGAACACAGTATAATACCATGCAATGAAATTATAAATGCATATGCTGATAAGGCTAGGAAGTATGACTGGTCCACGGAGCTTGTGACAATCTCCAGAGAAACGTGATTCAATTTACTTAATTTAGTTAAATATAATCTTAGTTTAAATAATTAGAAGAATTCAACAAGACGAGATTTCTAAAGTTAATAGTAATTGCATTAATGGTTGTAAAGGGTTTGGGAACGTTCCCTGGAATAAAAGCGCCTTGTAGCCCTGAGGGGACCAATAAACCTACTACTACTACTACTACTAGTAATTACATTAACGCGTGTATAACTTTATCTATATTTGTAAAGATGATATTAAGAATTTAATAAATAAAATGAAGATTTTAAAGAGAAGTAGATTAGTAATTTTTGGATTAATGGATAAAGGTTTAATAGTAAAATGTAAATTTTTTTAGGGGGCACTGTAGACACTGCGGCTATTCCTTGCCTAAAATAACATTTACTGAAGAAGAATTTGGAAACCTGGCAAAATCTATGATGGACAAGGTTATCATAGGATCGGACGTCTATCGCAAAACTAATCCAAAAGAATTGTTGAAGTTTCAAAAATTTATTGAAGACACTAAACCTTACGACATAGTGATTGATGGACTTAATATAACTTATTTTCAAAAATCTCGTTCGTATCACAACGAATCTGAACCGAAGTTAACATGGGTAATACATACTGTTAAAAACAATTAAGGTTTTAACGAAATGCTAATTTATTGACTAATGAGATATATTAATTCACATTATTATATAATATATAAATTCCTGCATAATGTGCAGAAATATGCTGTTTTGTTATTTAATTGCAAAGCGACTAGTTAGTTTTCTATTATTATTTAATGTATTAAATATTGATATATATTTACAGCTGATCAATGTAGTCGAGCATTTCAAGAAACAGAGGAAAAGAATACTCGTATTGACGCGGAAACATCAAAAGAAGCTATCCACTTTCAAGCACGTAGAACGGCTCGCCTCTGTCTTCTTAATAGATAATTTGTAAGTTTTGGATCTATGTAGATATGTGGCATTTTGTAAGTGCCATGTCTTATAAGATTACTTGTAATTATAAAACAATTACAATAATATATTAAATAAAATTTTGTGTACATAAAATTTCAGATCTTCCGATGACCCTTACATACTCTACGCAACCTTGGCGAGCGGGATAAATTCCAAGTTTATCTCGCTGGATTTGATGCGACAACATAAGCACTCCTTACAGAATAGCGACTTACAACGAGCGTTCAAGAAATGGCAGTATTCGCATCAGTACTTCGTCGAGCGAAGTAAAACCGGTATTCGCATGCTAGAGCCTTTCGCCTGCATGCCGAATGTACAGAAGAGTGGCAATTGTTGGCACGTACCATGTGTCAGCGACGATATTATTAAAACGGAATCATATAAATTTCCGGATAAGTGGTACTGTTTGAAGTACACGAAGAAAACAAATAAATGATATTGAAACATAAATTTCTTTATTAGATATCATTTGTCTGCATGCTGGATAATAGATGCGATTTTTAAATTGAAAATCTTAATGATTCTCGTCTCTTTATTAACATGCAATAATTTTATAATAAATTATATCAATTGCTTGCTGCTTCACTGCAATATATGTATATACATATAATTCAATGACTAAAGTTAGATACTACCAGAAAAATAACGAACAGTATTCAACCCTTTCGTGAATAAGTTATTTTTTATTTTCAAAGTTTTTGTTCATGTTTGTTCAATAGTGGAATGAGTGCTAAATCATTGTATCTTTTTAAATTGTGTAATCTTTTAAATCTGTAATCTTTTAAACCCAGACAGCCAGCCAGCATGAACACAAGTTAGCTTTCATAATGCTAACAAAAATGTTAGCAACTTGCTATGGATCTATGTTTGCTAGCATTTGATGTTGGAAATGAAACATTTGCATGATCCGAATATTATGCTAGCATTAAGTTCTTCGCTAGACGTAATAAATATAATATATTGTTATCTGTTAGAAAATTTAAAACAATGCGTGCTAACTGTTCTCTCTTTAGGCCCAGTTTCACAAACATCGGTTAATTGCTAACCGAAGGTTAATGGATTCTCTGTCTCTTCTTAAATAATAAGATGGAAAATGAAAGGGAGTCGACTGAACCCTAGTTAGCGGTAAACCGATGCTTGTGAAACTGGCCCTTAGCTGTGCACTTAACTACGACAATATGTTAACATTATGGTAGCTGTGCTTAAATCACTCAAACGTGGAATTCAAATTCCTGGCGAAAAGCCAGCATCAGTCGCCGGCATTTTATTTCCATACATTGCTTGTGCATATACTAGCTATATGGGAAATTTTATGCAAGATTCGTACGTCTCACAGTGGTCACGAAAGGGTTTAAGTATAAGAGAAATGTATTCTAATTGATTTGTAACGATAGTTTTAGGCAAAGATTAACTGTATTTTTCTTAATATTGAACATTTTCTCGTTCCCGATCGCTACGACGTGGCGACACGCAGCGCTCAAAGTAGCTTTGAACGGAATTTCCGCATTAAACGAAAAAAAAAAGAAACCGCCTAATATATCCTAAATTGCGCTCGGTGTGCGCAATTAGCGCGTTGCGCTAATTGCCTCCCTTGAAAACGCTGCGCGGCGACGTGTCATCGCGTCATGCGAATCAGCCCGATTCGTCCGCGAGCGCAGGTGAGGTCGCTGCAGTCGCGCTCCTGCGATCAGCCGTGCGAGAGGTTCGTCGCGCGACGATTCCGTAACCGCGACTCATCGCGCCTGCCAACGGCGACCTTCCGTCCGATTTCTCCCGCACGCGTGGCAGCCCCGGCGGTCGATCGCGACGTTCCTGTGCCACGGGTGCTCGTTCTCGCGGGACATGTGATGCTGCGCATCGTGGTCCGTGCCCGAGCCCCGCCATCTTTGTCGTCGCCGCCGCCGCCGCCGTCGCGAAAACGGTCTCGGAGAACGTGGCCCGCGACGCTCGTCGGCCGCCGTGGGATTCCCGTCGCCTGAGAAAACCCCCGCGTGAGTCTCGTCCTTCGAGGTCGCGACGCCCCGACGTCTCGGTGGCTCGCTCTCGCGCGCGTCTCCGGCGTGTCGGTTCGTGATTCGCGGGGCAACGAAGCGGCGACTCTCTCGCGCGCTCTCTCTCTCTCTCTCTCGTCGTACTCTGCGAGGACTCGCGCGGAACACCTCCCAAGGACACTTCCGGGACGTCCCAAGGACCACTCCGGGGCATCCCGGCAGCATCCCCGATCCGCGCGCCGGTGGGATGCTACATTGAAGCGAGCGGGGGCGAGCGTTCTATGGACCATTCGCACGAGTGAGTATATGGATTGTCGCGGTCCGGATTGCGTGTCACGCAGAGGCATTTAATCGGCCGGCGCGAGACACGAGACGCCGACGGGTGAACCGAGGACGCGATTCGATTGCGCCGATACGATGGCGATTCAGGGGCTTTCATTATTGTTATGTAACGGAGGATTGGGCCGTCCGATCGCCGGATAAACAAACTGGCACTATCAGGCGCGATTTTACGCGCGGCCTCGGCAGAATGGCCGACCCGTAATTTCAAGACAGTCTTTCTAAAATGTTTATCTGTTTGTGGCTGTGCGGTGGAGTTGTTTGCGTACGCATGTTAAGTCTGATCTACAACTTTCGCAGCGGGGAAACGTTCTATTTTAAACAGGCGAATTGATACGCTGCAAAAATTTGTGAGCGCGTATAATGTACGGTTTATCAGCTCGCGCAAATCTTTTAAACAGAATGTTTCTAGACGCGAAGAGCACATTGTAGATTGGGCTGCGGTTTCCTGCAGATATACTCGAGATGTAACGCGTGTTTGTACTGTGCGTTACTCGAGACAAAGACTTGCGTGTAAAACATTATCCTGAAATCGCAAGTCGGAGTCTAACAAGAGCAGTTGGCTCGTAATTTCACAAGACAATGTTTTTTCATAATAAATTCAAGACAATTTTAGTCTTTGTTTTAGGTAAGGGCCTGAGCAGAATTGCTGTCCTGTACGCTTAAGACGTAATCCGAGACGTAATCCCTAATCCACAATCTTGCTTTAAGTAAGCTGTAAGCCTTAAGCCGTAAGAATTTAACCACTTACAGGTGAGAATGAGGGGAATAAATGCCTGTGATTGATTAATTTCTTACGGTTTAAGGCTTACAGCTTACTTAAAGCAAGATCTTGGACCAGGGGTAAGACAGTTATTGTGCGATACCTCAAGACAAAGGCTTAAAACGTAAAACATTGTCTTAAGGTTGTTTCCAAGAGCACAAGACAATGTTTCATGTTTTAAATCCTTGGCCCGGTCTGCAATGAGTTGTTGGTCAAAAGTCGGGACTGTAGGTTGATCCTTTTCCTTTTTGAGTGGAAGAAAAAAAGACCGACATACAGTTTCGACTTCTGACCGATAACTAAAAACTCATTGTAGACCAGGCCTTTGTCTTAAAGTAACGCGCAATAAAGCCTAATCTACAGTGTGCTCTTTGCGTCCAGAAACATTCTATTTTGTAGCCAACAGGTACGTTTAAAAAATTTGTCGATAGATTGTACAATCGTGCGTTGTCGGCAAAGTTTTCAAGCGTTTTGATTCGCTGATGTAAAGATGTAGAATGTAGTCGACATGTATTACCAGCTCCGTAACACCAACATTTATATATTTCGACTAAACGAGGACCACTCGACTTGCAGTCCTCACAAATCCGAATACGGCGTGCGTTGTAACGCGTCGCGAGCGAATTTAAACCATTGACTTTTGGATTTAATTCAATTTCTTTTATTTCTCTTTTCTTCTATACACCGAGGCTGGTCTAAAGAAAGGCCGGAACAACATCTATGATTTTTATTGACCGCATCTGGCGAATATAAATTTCTTATTGCGAAAAATATTACCCCAACCAGGATTCGAACCTGGGACCTCCCTCAATCCGTGACGGGTGTCTTGCCTGGCCGGAACGTTTGTGATTTCTTCATGTTGTAAATAAACTGAACTTTTATAATTGCGACACCAACGCCTGGTCAAGGCTTCTAGCTCTTTTATTCATTTACTTTTTAAAATAGAATGTTTCTAGACGCAAAGAGCACGTTGTAGATTAGGCTTAACTGTCTCGTGGCTTAAGAATACAAGAGAGCCGTTCTGCTCAGGCCCTAACGCACAATACCGCGATATGTCTCAATCCTGAGACGTGTGCGACGAAATGGAAGGAATAAACGTATTTGTATAAACACGAGACAATTTTATTGCGACTACTAATACTAGATGAGTATGTGATAAATGTTGCCTTGAAACGATAAGTTTGCCGTTCTGTTGGAGCCCCTGTTGACTAGGAGAAAATGAGCCTTACGTTGATTATTAACTCTGTAATCACAACGTTGAGTCGCTCACGACTCATGCTACATTTCCTTTATTTTTTACGCACGCACTGGTACAATCTGAACTGAAAATAATGTCGATGGTATCTTTCATGTTCTTCCACGTGTTCCGGTCGCATTTATATCTGTGACAAAATTGTAATTTTCACAGTTACATCTTACGTGTTTTACGTTGCGATTGTAGGATTAATAAGAATATGTTTCTGCGTGTCTGGCTTTGAGAGAAGGAATTATGCGCCGATTGTCACGGAAGAGGATTTTCTCACGATCAAAATGTCTCAAGGTATAGGAAGATGAGGCTGTATTTGATCAAGGTAGTTGGGTAAAAAATGATGAAGTTACAGAGTTTCTTTAAACTTGCAGCAAAATTAATTTAGATATCAGTACGTGTGTGTGGGTAAAATTTGGATTTGACTTACCGTACAGTTTACGGGATATAATCACTTAAAATTAACTGTTTCTAACATTTCGCTTCTCGCCATTGGCTGCTGAGGTAGAAAACCCGACACTTGGACATCGCTTGGACATGTATTTGATCAGTTTTTGACGTCAACTTTTCTCCAGTTACTTTCTTATTAATGTGTACTCAAGTCCGGGGATTTTAATTCCAAAAAATTGTGCCTTCCTCGATGAACACTTCGACAGTTTCTCTAATGCTAATTAAATCTGACTGGCATTGTTCGAGTATGCAAAAGTGCCACGTCTGTCTCGCCAATCCGCCAGGTATAACCGGAAAACTAATCGGCTTAATTCATTTCCGCCGTGAACAGTAGTCACAGAAGCATAACAGAGGGTTAGCGACCATGACGCCTGAGACCGAACGTCATTGTTTTCGAGCACACTTTAAGCAATCCATAAGCTGCAGAACGGGATCTGTGACCAAGTTTAATAAATTAAGAGATTGATTGTTAATTAACCGTTAAACATTTGTCTGTTTGGAAGACTAATGAAACACATATAGAAAAATGAATGATGAAGATAAACGAGAGTACGTGGACACGTCTGATTCTTGAGAATAGGAAAAGTAGATATACAATCTCTATGTGTATTAAGGTATAAACAAATTGTCTCTTCTAAAAATTTGTTTAAAAAAAGATTGGTGCCATAAGTAATCACAAAAAAAACGAAAGAATCAACGTAATTAATTGTACAATTTTTTATATTTAATTTTATATTTTTGCAGTTTTCCGTTACAGTTTAACGTAATAGTGATAACAGCAATGAGATAATTTGTTGTGTTTGTATAAATATTATTTCTGTACACATCCTATTTTTCATTATTATAACAGTTAATAATTAATTGTAGGGCAATATATTAAAACTCTTAATTTATAATAATATATATTTATCTTTTAATAAATTAATATAAAATTTAATAATAAAATGAACAAATATCTTTATTGGAATTTTGTTTATTTTATAATACAAAATTTTATTGATTAATATTTGTAATTTAATAAATATTAATGAGTGTGTCGCGTCTTTCCTAAATTAAAATTTGTCATTTAAAAAATCTTTATTAAACTTGTCCAGTAATATAAAGTTATATGTCGAACCATTTCACTACGTTTATTTGCGATCTATTCAATTTTTCTTTAAACCATGAAAAATTGGATGGTCATCAGTGATCTATGAATATATTATCTTGTTAGATCGAGAAATTTTGTTCATTTATTAGAATAATTTTGAGAAAAGCAGCTTTGCACGAGCATCGTGAAACTATTCCGCCACAATTCTAAAATCCTTTCTCGTCAGTTCCAAGTGAAACTCGGATAATAAGACTTTTCCTTTCTCCTCATCATTATGGTTGTTCTGTCGTTATTTATTGTATACTTTAATTTTCAACTAGCATCATATATTTCATACATCACTCGATATCTGGATCACGCTGTACTTAAAGTAATTCCATTCGACATAGTTGCAGCTCAGTACGTTGTTCTAAATCGAGTTTTATATATATACATAATCATCAAGGAATAAGAGAACATCGTATACAGTTCTTTATTTTACTCATATAAATTATTTTTATATAATTTACTATTGAAGACAAAGGCAATGTAAATTATAGTCAAAGATCAATACAAAAATTAATTTATTTGGTGAAACAAATTGGAACTTTACGCGTGTTCATAAGGTGGAATTTTCCATTTAACGTATGGCGTTGATCTGTAATTAAATTTTGATGATTAAACTCGCCTGTCGACCGAAAATATCCAGTCTGTTTGTTCTGTGTTACCGTATTTAATTATTTCTGTACGCTATATTTAATTATTTTTGTATTTTATTTCAGTATTTAATTACTTTTTATATTATTACGCGTGTCTGTGGCAAACGTTATGGAAATATAGAGGAAAGTCCCCTATTATGAGATAAGCTCCTAATATGAGATAGTAGGGTTTTTTGCTAAATTAATAGGCATCATCTAGTGGTGCCATTGTGAATTTATTGCGCTTGGAGCGCAATTCGTTTGATGGAAAATTCACTGTTAGATCGTGTAATTGTTGTGAATAAAGATTTGTGATTAAATTTCGATGCTGAAAACCTGCTATCTTGTATTAGAAACCTATTCAACGATAGAGGACTTTCCTCTAATAATGACAATTCTGATTTAACAGTATATTGAAATTGTACAGGATGGATTATAATATTATTGATTGTAGTATATTGAAATTTTATACGGGATAGATTTTTCATTTTTCGGCGACATTTCGCGCTGGTGCGATCGATTCTCCTCTCGATTCAAAGTCGCACGAGGATTATCGGCGAAGGAATCGGGCGGATTTAAAATTATACACTATTATCATGCAGCAAAATGTTTTCCCACACCGGGCGACTTTCAAATTGCATAGAAATCTGGTAGGAGATCCGTGAAAGAGAGAAGGAGCGGCATTACTGCAGCAGCACCGCGCACACGGATACGCTGCGTTGCTCGGTAATGGTGTATTACTGGCTCGCAATCAGTGGCCTGTCGTCATGTCGTGAGTCATCGAATGCCAGTCACAGCTGTACCTTCGAGTAGTATGGGATTGCAGAAACAGACCGCGTGGAACTTTCTTGCCGCGCGCAGATTCTCGAGGCTCGCCTGCGAATTCGCGGAGAAACTTCGCATACCAAGTATTAATAAATTTCATTATCGCACACAAGTCGGATTTACACTTTGTAACCAATTGTGTGTAATTTTATTCCCCTCAACGTCAACGTCGTCAACGACTCGTCGAGAGTTTCTTGAATCGATTTGTTCCTTTCTCGGCGAAGGTGTTGTATCGTGCGATGTGTGCGCATTTTGGTTTAGACGGTTAAAATTTTTAATCGTTAAAAAGTATATTAACAAGTAACGTAAACGCTCGAGCAAGATAGTCAATCACTACCTCTATTTTAATAGTTTAATCAGACATTGATAACTGCCGATAACAGGGAATTCAAGAATAGGGATACTGTGTATCCGACCTTAAGGCCTGTGTCCACGGTCCTTGGTACACGTGGACCAAGTTCTAGCATCGTGGCCTCGAGAGATATCAAGGTGTACAGTGATGGACCGAACGGTTGCAACAGTTTTCATTTTGAAAGATGTGGTCGTTATGGTAATAAAAAAATAAAAAGAAAGAAAAATTGTGGGCAGTGTGAGTTTTTTCTAAATGAGTTTAGGAACGTGCATTTAGATTCAAGATTACGTTCCCAAATTTTTGGAATATCTTACTCGATGGCCATTCCGAAGCCATTTTGAGCGATTTCCGCTATATTTCTCGAGTGAAATTTTCCTCAGAGACTGTGTTTCGGCACGTAAACGTGAATCCAAGTGCGCGTCCCTAAACTCATTTAAAAAAAAGTGTCGCGACCATTCTGGCCATCGCCGTGCATGAATGTAACCCTTGCCCGCCCCGTAACAGCAGGGGGATGCGATTTGTGCATCCCCCTTGATGCAATCTGGCGCGTATACTCCACGGAGGAACGTCGTCGTGGAGCGCAGGCGTTGTACACGCTCTTCATCCCCACTGGCGGCTCTGCGCTCCTTTTCGGGGTAGGGATGGGCTCACGCTAACCCCCGGGGGTGCAAGTCCTCAGTGAGAGACTGAACGCGACCCCGCGCGTGCCGCGTCACCGTAGCGATCGAAACTGTACACACTGTGTACATATATCCTATCCCCTACACACACACACACACATATATACGCATACTTATGTACATATGCGCGCATATTTGTACACAATCTCTATTTTTGTACCGACGGTAATTAGATGACTCCTTTTGTATCGCGGAAACACGTCCAACGGGAAGAGGATTCGTTGTATACATAGGTACATGCATGGTGTAAAGTGGTAGAACCGGCAGAGTCCACCGTTATCGATGGGTAGGACGGATATGTCAAAAACGCTCAACGCTTATAGAATGTGAGTAGACCTGTGAAAAATCCATAACGCCCCTTCTCTCCCTCCTTCCCCCTTCCGTCCCTTTTTCGCAACAATTTCCCCATAATTTCTCCGTGATTGCACACTCCGGACGAAGCGGCTCGTATTCGGTATCGCGACCGCGTCGTGAAATGACGGGGTGTATCTTGGGGAGAAAGAGAGAACGTTACTCGTACAAGCCTCCGATAATTTTCTTCTTTTTTTTTCTTTTGGATCTTGCCCAGTGTAAGCGGAATTGTCCAAACCGTGTCGTCGTAATTTATATCGTTCGCTCGTTTTAATGACATTGTCTACCCCTGTTTTCCACGGTCTCTCGAGGTCTACGTTATGAAGAAGTGCAGGAAACCAGGCAAACTTATTGATAAGGCTAATATGGGATTGGCAAAATGGCTATAGCGATCGTGGCTCTGAGGACCCGCTTCAGCTGGAAATAGCAGGCAGATCCAGCAACGGGAGCTGTTGACGCTCCTCAAGATCAGGCTTAACTTTGTCAAGTTCAGTGATAAGAATCCTTCGTATCCGATTGCTACGTAGCATAGAAATTGCACCGACTGTCGTCCGTGCCAGGCATTGATCGGCGGCTCGCATGGCGCCGCGACGTTATCGTGCTCATCTGCGATATATTCGGAGCGCAGTGCTGATATGAAATTTCCGGGAACATCTTTGAAAGCTGATGGTTTGATGCTCTAGAAAGATTCTTATTAATATCAGCGTGTAATGCACACGTCCACCATTTATCCAGTTTGAAATCTGAAAGATTACAACGTCGATCAATATTACACAGATTTTTGCTGAAGGTGTATTTTGCTTTGGCGTTGTATCTCGTGTTATAATTTGGTCCTCAGTGGTCTGTTAATTGATGCTGATTATGGTTCATCTAACAATAAGCCTCTAGCTTTCCTTGAAGATGAAGTTGCGTTAATGATGCTTTGTGTTTGTCACAAATACAAGTGAAGGTTTATGATTACAACAAATAATACTGTCAAGCCCGTATCAGACTACAGATTGAGATTGAGATTATATTAAAATGTGACCAATCAGAGTAAAGTTTACTAATCTCAAGTTTAATGAATTTTACTCTGGTCAAATTTCGATCTAATCTTAATCTCAAGTAGTCTGATACAGACTTTAGAAATATTAATTGTTTACTTACGTATCTAACAATATTGCAATGTTCTAATACTTATTCCATAATTTCTAGCATGTCAAGACCATCGTGCAATAAATTGATCGATAATATTATTGAGAAAATTAATTAGTATTGCTGTAAAAATATCGACCTGTATTAACTGTAGTTTATCTAATCTATCCCTTGTTGAAAATTAAAATTGTATATTAATATCGATTAATGTTAGTGATTACAATTGTGAAATATGCAAGTGTTTTCGAATTATTTGGAAAATTTAACTTTGTGAAAAAAGGAAGGAGACGGAAACCTAAAGTATAAAAAATGTTATACAAAATATAATTCTTTGATTTTCTTTGATAATAAAAATAGAATTTAATTTTTAGTTTAGTTATTTATTTTTGAAATTATTTGAATTATTATTTGAAAACAGTTCTATGGAAATAATCTGTGAAAATAAAAAGTAATTATTTTAATCGGTAATGAGCGCCACTACACTCGCGTATTGAATTTCTCACGGGCTATTGCGTGTTAACATAAACACGCAATGTTATCGTAACTTTAGTATCTTACCTTTTCATATAAAATATAGATCGTTATTTCGAGAACGATGGCATGTAAAGATAAATTTATTTAGAGAGCAGTAAGATAGGTCATTGTTGCAAACAACCTAAGAATAAATTAGTTTAATAAAAAATGTGTAAAAAAATGTGTATGATACTACGTTAATAAAAAAGGAAAGAAGTTTCATGAGTATTTTATCAGGGTAATGAGTGCACGCATCAATTAACCTTGTGTAATTATTTTTACATTTGTTCTCCCTTTCTCTTATTAAAAAGAAAAACGAAACGTACAGGTAGTATTTTATTATTGAATTTTTAATTTCCTAATTTATATCTTACTTTTAAGTCCTTAGACGACCTGTAATATTTTTGTGTCAAAATTCAGGAAACAATTTTATAAGTACGTCAGTTTTTTATGATAACAATGTGAAGAATGTACAATAGGAAAAACATTTGACGAATCAAAATATACTTTAAAATATATTTTTAAATACACACGTACATCAAAATCTATACGCGATGTATAAAATTATAAATCGAATTTACAATTCTGAGATCTGATGAATTATAGATCGTCATAAAGACTTTATACAGTCGCATGTATTTATATACTATATTTTTGTATACTGAATCTAATATGATGCTTAAAATTGAACTTAACTTGGAATTTTATCTGACATCTTTCATCCTTCCATGTTTATTTTTAAACTTAGATTCTCGCTTTATTCCATTGGTTTTTTTTTCCATTTGTTCTTTGACTTCAATCATCTATTCTGTCACACTATCTTCCTTTTTTCGCCTGGTGATCTTTTTATCTTTATTCTACAATTTCCGGTGACCTCTGTGCTACTTCTGGATTCGTTACTTTTTTAATAGCTTGTTAATTTTTCCTTGGATGAAAAATTTTATCGTATATTTGCGGTAAAAGACATAATTCCTTAAATAAAAAAGAAATTAGAGCGCGCATTTTTGCATTCTTTTATTCATCCTCATTAGACAATTAATTACTTTTGTATTAGCCGATTAATCGCTAAAAATTAGAAATAATCGTACATTGATTTAAAGTACATTGCGGTTCTCGTTATTTATAGTGGTAAAACAGGGTTAACGTGCTATGAATATATCATAAGCGTGTAGATGTATATAAGATGGTAGGCAGTGGAAGACAGTTCAGAGGGTACGGCAGATATAAAGAAAACGATCGTGTGCACAGGTATAAATAATTTTATTCGCTCTTCGTGGCTTCCGACTTTCGATTCTCTGTTACTTTATCCTGCAAAATTCATTATGGAATTTTTTTCAGAGTCTTCCTAGGGCTTTGAATCACGATAACTCCCTTCATACGTATTTCAATTTACATAATGGTTTATATATCGGTTGGTCGATTAATCCAGAGAGACGAGTCCAAGGCGGATCGCTTGGATTGGTCTCCGTCTTTTATTATCGCCACTTGGAGCGGTCGAGGTCGTCCGATCGTAACTGCTTGAATGGCGGAAATGCCAAGACCAGACGAGTGATCCTGTGTCGTAAGGTCGTCAGGTCTGCTCGCGGTACTGACCACAGGTAGTTGGAGGAGGTCAAGGTTTACGACTACCTGAAAATTTCTCGACCGAGCGTCCAGGACACGAGATAAAGTTATTACGTGCCTGTTCGAATAGATGTATCTGTCCGATATCCGGACGCTTTTCAATTGCTGTGCCGTAATGAGACTATTCTGATAGATTAGAGACTGTCGAAATGGACGGATAGTTTATCAGATCAGTATGGATAATCAATTGTGAGCTGTATGGATGTTGCACGATTTGTTTTTGCTGTGATAGATCGATACCAAATTCGAAATCACTTTGTGGACGATATGTATCGTACACGTGTATGATTACGATATCGATTGTGTGGTGGAATGTTTTACAATTGATCTCTAGAGAAAAGTGGTCTCCCTCGGCCAGTATCGATTACGTGGCGGCTACGCGATCGTTCCTCTTCACCATCGAATTCCTAGTCGCGCCGCGGCTCTACAGGCTGATTCACAACAAATGTAACGTGATAATTCAATTTTTTGAATAAAAAAGATACTTTAAACAGAAAATTTTACCTAAAATCTTAACAACTGAGGTAATATCTGGATGAAACATTCAATATTTCGATCATGTTGAAATATTCAAGGGAAATCTTATTGTTAGCAGAGGAAAGTCCTCTGTTATGCGACAGGGTCTAATATGAGATAGCAGGTTTTCAACGTCGAAATTCAATCGCAAATCTTCTTTCACAACGATTACACGATCTAACAATCAATTCTCCACTAAACAGATCGCACTCCAAGGGCAATAAATTCATGGTGGAACCAATAGATGATGCCTATCAATTTAGCAGAAACCCTATCTCATATTAGGAGTTCACCTCATAATAGGGGACTTTTCTCTACTACAGGACGAAATGCAAGTCCGTCTTTTTGACGATGGTGCGCAACGGAGCATAATATATTGAGGTATATTTCCGTGAATCGTTCTGTACATATACGTAGGCGATTCTGTCGGAATTGCGAGAGCGCCACGGTATCACGATGCGCCGGCGTCGAAATATTGAGCCGATGGTACCGCGTTAGAGACCAGCACGTAGACAGCTTCAACGCGGCTCCGAAGACATGGGGTAAGTCCTCTCTCTGTCTCTCTCTTTCTCCTCATCCTCGTCTTTCGCTCGCGACTCTCCCCGATCGAGTGCAGATCGCGTGCTCGAGTTATTATAACGGTTCTCCTGCCCTCGGGATCTCCAAGACCCCACACCTTCGGTCTTCGACTTCTCCGCGCCGGAAGCGCCTTGGCGCACGTCGGCCATGTTGCAGAGATAACAATGGTTACACATGAATTTTTGATGGTCTTATTATAAGGCATCTCGATGCGCGAGGTACCTTTTATCGGCATTCTTTAGGAACTAACTGATGTTCACTTAAAAAATCAGCAAAAATCAGCCGCTTGCATTTTCCCAAGGAATATTCGTACATTCCTGACAGAAAAAGCAGGAAGACGTGATTTTGTCCTGCAAATATAAATTGTTTGCCCCCTTTCTGTTTGCAGTAAAAAAATTGAGAACATAGGCAGAATGACGGCGATGACGCAGGAGGAGATAATTGCTGGAGCACGGACGATCGCTCAGGGTCTGGAGGCTCTCCGGGTCGAGCATGGTGGTCTGCTACAGGGTCTGCAGTCCCAGGACGCGCCAGCCGCTCGGGACAAGGCTAGTCTACTATCTAAGATCATCGAGATGATCGACCTGGGCTTAGGCGAGGCGCAGGTAATGCAGGCGCTGGTGAGTCACCTGCAAATGGTGGAGGCAGAAAAGCAGAAACTGAGGACGCAGGTGAAGAGGCTGTGCCAGGAGAACGCCTGGCTCAGGGACGAGCTGGCCGGCACGCAACAAAAGTTGCAAGCGAGTGAGCAAGCCGTAAGTATTGTTGATACCACGGTTAATCGTAACTTAATCATTTTATGTGGTGCGTGCAGATATAAAAATAATTTAAACCGAGATTTCGAGAATTTTTCCACAAGTGTATGTCGATCGTACTTCAATTTTATTTTCGATATATCACAGTGTGAGTTGTGTCTGTCGTTAACATATGCATAAATATTTTATTATAAAGATTAATTTTTCGAGATGTACATAACAAATTTTGCAAATAGGTTTATGCCATGTATTCTGAATGGCAATAAATAATCGTAAATACTTTGTATTTCTGATTAAAGAATGCTAAAGACTTGACAATTTCGACGAGTTCCTTCACAGACGAATTTTTCAGCCGCGATCGTGAAAATGTTATCGACGAGGCCCCTTTTTATTAATTATTTTCTTTATTACAACAGTTTGCTTGTGATTTTTCCCAGCAAACTTATCATCTTTCCAATCATGTATTTTGCAGGTTGCTCAATTGGAGGAAGAGAAGAAACATTTAGATTTTATGGCCAGTATGCGACAATACGATCCGGATCCATCAACAGAAGATGAAAATGCTAAGGATCGACCGAAGGACGACCCCGTGGTGGATCTCTTTCCTGATGACGATGCGGACGATCGCAACAGCAAATGTAAGCGAATCTTTCTATCTTTGAATTATCGCAGTAGTAAAATTTCTAACATTAAAGCTTGTATAAAAATAACTACTTGCTAAAAAATAAACCATATGTAAAAGATAGAAGCAAATAATAATTAATAATACATGGAAAATGATTTGATGAATGATATAATAAGAACAATTGTGATTTAACTGAAATTTTTAAATAATATTTATAATTATAACTTTTAAATCGCGAGGACTAATTTGCAAGGCACTTCAGAACTTGAGAAATATTGCATGGTTATTTTTTTTTAACAAAAATTTCTATTTTTTCTTTCAGCTATATCTCCGACTCCGCCGTCACAGTTCGCTCAGCAAGTGAATGCCGGTTACGAAATACCTGCACGTCTACGTACCCTACACAACCTGGTGATCCAGTATGCGAGTCAAGGCCGTTACGAAGTGGCCGTCCCGCTGTGTAAACAAGCATTGGAAGATCTGGAGAAAACTTCTGGCCATGATCATCCCGATGTGGCAACCATGCTCAACATACTTGCTCTCGTATACCGAGACCAGAACAAATATAAAGAAGCTGCGAACCTTTTGAACGACGCTCTGGCGATTCGAGAGAAAACGTTGGGTGAAAATCACCCCGCGGTAGCAGCGACGTTGAACAACCTCGCGGTGCTGTATGGGAAACGAGGGAAGTATAAGGAGGCTGAACCCCTGTGCAAACGAGCACTGGAGATCCGCGAGAAGGTACTGGGTCGCGATCATCCGGATGTGGCAAAGCAACTAAACAATCTGGCACTGCTGTGTCAGAATCAGGGCAAGTACGAGGAGGTGGAGCGCTACTATCAGCGTGCACTCGAGATCTATGAGGCTAAACTAGGCCCGGACGATCCAAATGTTGCTAAAACGAAAAACAATCTGGCATCTTGTTACTTGAAGCAAGGAAAGTACAAGGATGCCGAGGTACTGTACAAGCAGGTGCTCACTAGGGCGCATGAGAGAGAGTTTGGTGCCATCGATGGTGACAACAAGCCTATTTGGCAGGTATGGAAGTAATGGGTCACCAGTACAATTGCCTTCAAAGCTACAAACAAGTATTTAACCCTTGGAAGTCTAAAAGTAATAACCAGGAGATTCTAGAATTATATAAAAGATAACTGGCTCAATAAAATTTATAATTTATTTGCTGCAATTTTTTTCTATGCTTAAAAACTTAACTGTAAAACTTTTGGCCTAAGAGTAAAATTTCTTTTTGTCAACATGACAACTAATAATGAAAAAGTAATGGTCATTATTAATTTGTTATTTCAATTTTTAAATACATTAATGTGAACATTTAAGATACACTAGTGATTCACTGTTACAAAATTTCTTTGATATTTGTTCTTTGGTATTAAGATTTACTCTATATTAGGATATTTTATTGTTGAGGAGACTAAACTTGTACTTAATTTGTATTTAACTTTTTTGAATTTTTGATGACATTTTTGGAAATGTAATTATTTTCTGATTAATCTTGTGATTTATGTTTTAGGTGGCTGAAGAGAGAGAAGAGAATAAGCATAGGAACAAGGAAAACACACCATATGGCGAATATGGCGGTTGGCACAAGGCCGCGAAAGTGGATTCCCCTACTGTCACAACTACCTTAAAGAACCTCGGCGCCCTTTATCGAAGACAGGGTAAATACGAAGCTGCAGAGACGCTCGAAGATTGCGCCATGAGATCTCGAAGAGAGGTAGATAACATTTTTATTAATTATTTTGTTAAAAGAGTACACATATAATTGCAAATAATAAAAGATTTCTTGCAACTAACAAGTCTCTTTGCCTTTCGCACACGCAGCACGTACAACAAGTGAGTAAAAGCTTAGCACTATTCTGGTATATTGCATGCTCTTTGCACATTGCAAAATTACACAAAGTTACTTTTTTATTTGCATTTAAAATACCTCTTTTCATTAACTTTTTAATTTACTTAACATGTTAACTATTATACCATGTAGTAATATACATATAATTAACATTATATGTATATCATACGTGATCTTGACAAAATTTTCTTCTCCAAGTTACGTATATGATCTATGCACAAGTAATATTTCAACAATTAATAACTTTAAAGTAAAAAACCTGTGATTGAAAAACTACTTTATTAGCCTGAGAATAAATTTATTGTTTGAGGCATTGACAATCAATATGTTAAATAATGTTAAATCTTTAATTGTATCAAATATTAAAACCATATATTCAAACTTTGCAAAGTAAAATTTATGATTCGTATGCAATACAAATTAATAAGATATATACAATGTAAATTAACAGAAATTAAAATTTGATTGAATTAATAAACTTCAGTAATATAGGTTTATTGTATAACCATTTGTTTTTATTTCCTAGGCATTGGAATTGGTGAACAAGGCACGAGTGGCACAGCTGCTGGGCGACGAAAAGAGCTCTACCAGACGTGGCTCGCGATCCAGTCTGGCTAATAGCGAACATGAACAAAGTCACGAAGAGGTGAGTCTCTTCCTGTCTCCTGTTTGTCATTTCGACGTATAAATTAGCCGTATGCACTTCCGCATGTCATGCAGTAGTTGACACAAACACTTATAGCCGTCTACTATCCTTTTCTTCTTTCTTTTTGTTCTTTTTTACGTTTCGTCCCGTCGTCCGTCACGTCCGGCACAACCTGATCTGACCGAATTCTGGCCGAATCTCGTCGGCGACCGCACACGCACGCATACGAACGCAATCGAACGCAGGCGAACAGCTCGCTGCCACTGGTGCAAAGGGCGCTACATGAAGGACAGTCAGCGGCGAGCAGTGGCCAGCACCAACATGACGCTAGTCATAATAAACCCGGGTTTAAAAACAAGATCTTCCAAGCTTTTGGCATTCACTCATCGTCGACATAGGCCGAGCGGATCCCGTCTTCCGTTTCTCGTTAGCTTCTATTCCGCCTTACCGCATCGTCGAGTTCGTTCTCTTCAGCTGCATATTCTGTATTTTTTTCTAACAGTTTTTATCTATCCTCTTTCACTCTCTAATGCTTCCTATCACACTTGTCTTAATCTAAATGCAGAATGTATAACGTACTGCAGCTAAAGAGAACAGATCTATTTTATCGTGCTTTCATTCGTCATCTGTCAGCGATTTTTTAAATATGACGTCACACTGAATAGGTAGATGTACTTCTAGGACGAGCAAGAACTTTAAAATGTGCCCTCTAATTTCATATTTAATATACCTGCAACTGATTCATATCAATCGATTCACATTCGATTGATTTCTAAATATCTTTTGGTATCGTCAAGTAGAAAACTATTAAAATATTAAAATTAATTTCTCACATTTGAAATAGGATATTAAAATGTGAAGTATTAATAGGATTTATCTTGACTTCAGTATAAACTCAAAGTTATTTTTAGATAATTATTAAATCACATGAAATAACCTATAGTTATTTTTTATACAAACTAAGAGAATGTATTTAAAAAAACGATGAATTCAAATATGAATGAAGGTGTGTCAATTCATAGAATGGCATAAAAACGTGGTGCATATCGAAGTACAATGTGTCTATCCCGAGTATGCTCTAAATAGAGCGCATCTAACTATCTTGTGATAAAGGGTGACGCCTAGTATAAAAGGATATTTCCAAATGAATCACCCAGTACGAAATTATTTGCAAGATTCTTCTCAAATCAGCAATTATAACGTTGACGTTTTATTTTATGAATTTTATTCGTCCAAAATAGTTTATGTTGAAAGTTTATATTCAACATACATTTTACTGCACACTTTGTAAGGCAATCTATACCGTTGCTTCCCAAGATGAACAAAAAAAAGTTTAGTAATCCTTTTTTAGAAGACAATAAGATGGTGATGTTTGATGTGGCATTTCTCTTTATTCGTTGATGTCAGATGCAAATTGAAAACTTTTTTACGTGGTTATACATAGTTATATACAGGGTGTATCGCCATTTCAATTGGGACACCTTGTATAATTTGCATTTATGAGACTAACCTTCCAGATAAATGCTTCCTCGCACATATCTTAAATGTAAGAAATAACTGGACCAGCTTATTCATCATAAATCTAGCATGTTTATCACAAATACAGCATTGAAAAGAAACAAAATTTGAAAAGTTTAGTATTTTAGACTGCAAAGAACATTAAAAATCATACACGTATTATCAAAGTACATTTCTTATTAATATTTCTTGTATAACATTAAGAGATGTCTTGGTAATAATAGAGTATATCGATTTTTTTGTGTTTATTACTTCAAACTATTTTGGAATATGTCAGATTCAATGCCTTTCAATTTCGAAGAGTAGCATTTTTATGCATTCTATTAGATATTTTATTCATTATAATTATTCGTTAAAAAGTTTGAAATTATGTATGGAACAATTTAATATTAGATAACGTGATAAAATGTTTACGTTGTAAGCTGCGTTAATAATGTGGCGTAATCAATGTGAAATTCAATACTTTTTTTTATTACTTTTACGTAGGCATTTTACAGCAGGCCCAGTGATTGTCTTACATTCATGATTCACACAAAGAGATTGCAATAAACGTGCGCATATTCGACGCGTTGCTTTTAACTAAAATAAATTGATGCAATTAGGAATTGATAAAATCTCAGAAATATATAAATCTCAATTAATAAGCGTTAATAAAATACGCATTAATAAAGTGATTATATTTTTTACTTGTCACGCGTTATAAAATTTGATCTAAAATTTCTTCTTCTTGTGTTCCAAATAGAGGAATGTATCTATTTCTTCTTTGTTTCTCTTTCACCGCAAAATTTGATAAAATTACGCACATGTCATTTAAAAGTAGTATTATCGTGCAAGTAGCACCTTTGCTTAACTATATAGTACAGTATAGATTCGCAAAGCAACGCAAAAAATTAGGTCTATTAACGATTAAAAGGCCTCGATTAAAATAGGCAAAAAGATTATTTATGTAAAAAGAAATGTTGTTATGAATCTAATAACAATTATGAAAATATTCCGATTTTTATTCAATTCATTGTGCACATGTATAATATATATGTATCCATTACGATATAAATTGAAATGAAAATCGGAATAACATTTATTAAACTTATCGGAAGATATATTCCAATGTTTTAAATTAAATAAAAATTGGGATACATCGAAAAATATTTACGATGTACTCTGATTTTTATTTATTTTGTTTTATAAAGAATTTCTTCAAGTTTGCAATGCAGTGATATATCTCATGTATTGATAAATATTTACGATAGCATAGAACATATCGGATATTTTGCGTTATAGATCGACTTTTAAAATTCCACACGTGGCTTTTAGCGATATTTCGATCACAATTTGTACATTTTATACGGTTCAAAACACGATTGCAATTTTGGTCATTGACCGTACAACATCTTGAAGATAGGAGATAAGATGTTTTGAACATATATTTTATTTACAGCGATAAATAATACACAATTGTATAGAGAAAAATAGATTTCAAATATAATTCAAACATGAATATGTATCGAATATAATTAAAATTTTCGTTAGAGAGATAAACATCAAGTTGTAATCTAAAAAATATATATTCGAAATATATTTGAATTATGCTTGAAATGTATTGAACGGTGACAAAAATGACGTAGGCGATATCTCTTATAAGATCTCAACGGTGCATGCGAAAGAAGAAATAATGTTTCTCTTGTGGATTTCTGCGTTGTGAGGTACCAAGAGTATGTGATTTCGATCGAAAAATAGATATGAGTTTTATATATTCTATAAAGCGATATACATACAGCAGTCTTAATACACACACACATTCTTTTATAGATAGGATAATTTGTTATATAAATTAATGGTTATTTTATTCTCGATTAAATTAATAGGTTAAAAATGATGAAGGTAGTGCCTTGAGATTTTAATAAATAATAAATAAATTATTTTCAAACGGAGATTCCAGTTTATTCTTGATTTCTCCATTGTACAACGTTTCGAGGTTATTATAGTTACTACTCTTTATTATAGTTACACTACAAGAAGATAATTACAGTATAAAAAAATTTTTTTTCAATAATGCTTTCAATAATTTTGTTTTAAATTAAGATTTAGTTAAGATTAAATTATCTTTGAAAAATATATGTATATGTTTATTTGATTATATTTAATTTTTTTTGCTGCATAGCTATATCAATGTATGACATACAATTGCGCTTTTCTGTTAAATTACCTGTTCTTTTACATTTTGATTCTTGTTATTCCATTACAAAAATATTAAAGTAAGATCGAAAAATGAACGGTTTATAAAATACTTAATTTCGTTATTTTTGCTTTTTTCAAACTTTATTTTTTGATAAGTTTATTTAAATAATTTTACATAAAGATACTATAAGAGAAGAAACAATCTGTTAAGATTGTGTAAGAGAAAAATGTATATTATATTTTTAAAAATAGGCATGATTTTGAAATCTTATAGATACGCTCTTTTATCTATAACAAAACTATGACCACAAGATGTTCCGAAAACAAACACCTTTTATCTACATGACATCTTTAATAAAATTAATATTTTAGAATTTTGTTAACAGTAATAATTTCTAGTAACAAACAACACACACAAAAGAAGCTTTGAAATTGAAAGCAAATACTCCATTTATTCTAGATCCTCATTTATCTTAGAACAGCTTTCTCATTCTAAATAGTAATTTTTAGTTTAAGTATTCTTTGAGTACATGTTTACCGGTTGTTGTGATAGAATATTCTTCGTATTTCCGTATACAGAGAGAAAATGAACGAAAGGCAGAACGCGCAATATCTTTTGTTTAATGAAAGATTTAGTTTGCATGTATTCTAATGTTTTATTAGAATACATGATTGGAGTTGAATGTAGGTTCCAAAGTAAAGAAGTAGGTTCTAATTTGTCATTTTTTATAATAGAAGGTTCTCAGTACTTTTAATCTGAAACGTTATGAAGGCATGTAGAAGAAGTTGTAGTTTACGAGACGTACAATGTAACATATTGGCAATGAATGGAATATTGTGCATTAATTTTCTCCGCACGTAAAAGTACTTGTGTTTAACTATATCGTTCGTTCTCTGGATCAACTTGCGTTGTCGTTTTTGTTTCGCTTTTGATTCTTGAGTATATATTGAGCGGAATCCAAGGTACAGGATGAGGATGGCGATGATGTTAGCGGAGATATATCACCTGACGACGAATGGATAAACGATAAGGTGCGTATTTTTTCGTAGAAAAATATATAGAGTTTTTGTTTCTATATTATTAGTGCACAGAAAAAATAACTGGTTGCGATTATCCTTGATCATATCCGCCACTTCATTTCTTTTTAGATGTGTCCAATTATTTCTTTTAAATGAATAAACGTTTTCTGTTGATAATGTTGAAGCAGCAGGTTAATAAAGATGATACCTCTTTTAGATCAATATATTTTTTACAAGGAGTAAAAATGTTGCTATGTTACATAACATTATCTATTTTTCTAAATAATCAAATTACTTTATATTGAGAATAAAAATTGTCACACTTTGGCACATAATATCGTTATTTAACTTTCATTACGCATCATCTTTAGTTGCTTCTTCAATTCTTGTCTTCCAACATTAATGATTGCTGTGAAATTGACAATAGCGATAATGGTGAAAAACGTAAAGTAATAATTCTATTGAATGTAACAAAAAGAACAGAATGGGCGCTAATATCAATGATGATAGTTATAACGAAGAAAGTAGCGGAAGGAGTAAAGTGTAAATTTGTTACTGTGTGTAATTGCATGCCGGAGCAATATTTGTGTATCATAAGTGTTTCCTTGATTTTTGTGTGCTTGCTATGACAATGAACTATAAACACTCATTAGTTAATTTAAAACTGTGCGCTTCTTTCAGCAGTTATATATTAATATTTTATATAATATTATAATTATAAATGTCTTGTGTCTTCAATCGAAATAGAATTGAAGCTAATATTAATCTGTAAATTGTTAAACTTATTACAGAAGAATAACAAAAAGCAAAAAACCATATAAAGTGCAGAATATTCTTGACAGAAACTGGGGAAGTAAAAATTTTCCATTAATTTGTTTAATACACGGTTCACAACTGTTAAAATGCTTTTTTCATGTATTGATATTGATAATTGGATGTCACATTTAGAGTAAGAAATACGTTAATGTTTAAAACATAATCTATTATTCCTTTATTCGATTTATTCACTACATATATTCAAAGCTTTCTTCAATTATTATATTTCTATGTTATTTAATTTCTAGCACTTTATTATCTATAAAACTAATTGAAGACACGAGGACGATTTTTCCCACGTTTAAGATAATCGGGCTTAAATCTTGTTTCCATTCTGTTACAGGACTGGAAATACGCCTTTCGCGCGAAGTAAAGAGAACTACTATTGATGCGAACTACTATTAGACTATAATCTAAATGTGCGAATGATAAGACGAAAGGAGACTCTGCATTGACCGATGATGACCATTATGTCTGGACGTCGTTCACATACACGGCACACATTCCAGCTGCTATTCTCTAACGAAAAACGCACTGTATGCGAGCTAGCTCAACGTTGCTGCTAGTTTCTCACTCGTAGCTTCATGCGGTCAATTTTACTACGGCGCGAATTACTCTTTGCCATGCTTCGAATGTTAATTTGAATGAATCTGAAAGATATCGAATAATCGAATCAAAATCCAAAAGGATCATGGTCATTTGTCTCGTGTACATCGGTAAAATATTGTGTGTACATATTATTTATTTATTTCGGCATTTTCTTCGATAACATTATGATGTGTTGTCTCTCTAGCCGGAGCTAGAGCTGATCAGAATCAAGTTATATATTTGCACATCATTTGGTATAAATGTACTCCTACCCGGTTGCTCTTTACATCGATTATTTTACTCATTCGTGTAATCATCAATACTCATTTATGCATCATACATTTATTATTTGTATTCGGCGTACGTACATTTTTCAGGTAAAATCCATGTTTCTTTTCACCACGGTAATTGAAGAAGTTTCTTATACAAGGTATCTTAAAAATAATTTTTTAAATCTAAATTTCAAGGAATAAATCTTTCGAAAAGAACTATGGAATTCTCTAGATAACGTTTTTGTGTTCCTAATGGTACAAAAATTGTGTTTTTGCAAATCGAAATATAAACTTGTGAATATCTGAGTATACATTTTTCAATTTGTCATAGAAGGATTATCGTTAACGACTTACAGCAATGTTGCAGCCAAAATTGTGAGCATAAAAATTGTTTATTTCTTTATCGAGCAGCTATAATAATAAAAAAAGATAATAAAGACATTCAATTAATTTAAGTAGGTTTACATACATGATGCATTCTTTTGCGTTGAATTGCATGCGAGCTAGTAATGTGTGCATAATGCGTGTTTCTCATAATTTGCTAGCTTGTACGGAATTTTAACGAAGAAAAATGCACTTTCTGCCTATACAGTTGTAGATTAGATGGTTGCAATCTTTTTGTTTTTGATGAATTTCGGTACGCGTCAAATCCTTGAGATCGTCTTCGCGACTTTGACACGTTCCACAGTTCATTAAGAAAACGAATTTCATAACTTTTCCGTCCGCAAGTGTACGCGTAGTTGGCATCAAAAAGACTGATATTTTAAATTACAGCATTTGATATTCAACAGGAAAATGTTTTCTTTGGGAATGAAAGTACTGATAGAACATAAAAATTTTATATTGAAGTTTTTTATTTAGCAACAATTCGTTGCCTTTTCATCTTTGCAACTTGTATCATTGCGTGACTCAAATCAACTTCGATTAACATTGCTTCGAGTTGAGAGACAGAGGAGCGGAAAACGTAGGTCTAAGCCAAATTCTAATTGTTAAATTATATACAAATATAGCTTGATAAATGTATATATTTTTCGCGTTTAGTTATGTAAAAATGTATTTGAAATATATTTGATCTAAATGTTGTTGAAAGTTATATCAGTAGAAAAATACTAATAGAATAGAAAAATGTTTCCCTTTCCTTTTTCTCAAATGTATTTTGAAAGTCGTGAAAAGAAACTTAAAACTTAGTCTTTTTAATGCCAACTGCACACTTACGAGTTTTAAACATCAAAATAAAACTTAGTTTGTAACATATCACTTCTCTTTATTATTATGTGTCTTGTTATTCTTCGGTCTCTATCAATTTGAGAAATAAATAATTTACAATCTTTTTTTTAATTTTAAGCGAGAAAATTATGTTAGTGTCTTACACTATTTATTGTTTTGTGTTTTTGTTGAAATTTCGAAATGCACGAAAGAAGTTAAGCAGCAAGCAAATTGACGAATTATAACTTTCTTAGACTTATCATTCAATTTCCTATTCTCGAAAATATTCGACTACGCATTATACAAAACACTGTAAAATAATGGAAACTATATACATGATCGACACTACGCAATATTTTATGGCTTCAATATCGGGTTTACACATTTAATTCACAAGTCTCGTAATCTAATGCGAGAGAAAAGAAAAATATCGAATGTTTACTTACTTGAAAAACTTAATCTTTTTATTAAAAAACTTTTACCTATTTGTTTATCACTTTCAATGTTCTACATTTCACTTTGTCTTCATGTCTATGATAGTTCCAATTTGTGTGCCTGAGAGCTGAAGGGCCTAAATTTTCTGTTAATTTAATTAAATTTAACAAACATGTATCATCAGCAGGCTCCATTAGGTTTCATACGTCATAAGATTAAATTTTATTTATAGGGAAGTGGTTTTGAAATTTTAAAAAAGATTAAAATCTTAATAAATTTACAGAGATTTCATGATATTCAAAGCTTAAAATGGTGTCTGTTGAGGCTTGAATGCTTTTTCTGCAAGCGGAATTTAACATTACTTTTAATAAAATTACAAATTAAGAAAAGATATATTAGTCAAACCGATCTAATAAATTCAAAATGCATCTTATGAAATGATCTAATGTATGCTTTTTTATATTATTTTAGGATTTATATACATATAATGTTTTGGTATAATTATGAGAATAATAAAATGGCAAGGAGAATTGAGTGATTATCTTATTATTTGTATATAGATACATCAATGCATATGCAATATGCAACTTTCTCTTGATAAATATTGTTTTATATGAATTGATTCTTTTTATCATTCTATGTTTAAAAGTATTGAATTGACGTTTTCAAGAAAATAATGCTTTATAAGATATTTCACCTTGTATCAGGATAGAATATGAAATAGCTTATAAGCTATTCATTTTTCGATATTGCTTTAATAGTTTCTTACGGAGAATGATAATGAGAATTAATTTATGGAAGAAAACAGATTGAAGAAGAATGAACAAAACATCGTTAACTTTAAACATGGGAGCATCTTTATTTGGTATAAAAATCATCACGAGTTACTCAAAATAAAGTAATTTTTATTTGAAACTTTGTTCCTTAAATGCTTCTAAAATATTTAAGATGGTCATTTAAAATTGATTTATATTTATATAATAAATATAATTGTTTACGTAATCATAACGTGCTTAAAAAACAAATAATATACTTACATCACGTTTTTATTTTTAAATAAAATGAATGTTAAAAAAACGAAATCTTAAAATATGAGAATCGATATTTATTTATATATAAGAAATAATAAATGAATAACAAATCCATGTTGAATTTCCAAAGTATGAATTGCTGTATTAAATTAAAAATTAAATTTATTAATTTATTATTAATATCCGTATTTCTTTTTTATAAAACTAGAGCAACACAAGCGCGCGCTTCGCGCGCGCCATTGTTCTTCCACATTATATTACATAAACTGTCAAAATAACCCTCTTAAATATAATACAAACTGTCGAAACCGCAAGTCGAAGTGAACGACTCGCAACGAGATCGAAACATAAATTGTCAAAATAACCCTCTTAAATGCAAACTGTCAAAACCGCGAGTCGAAGAGAACGACTCGCAACAAGATCGACACTCGATCGAGTTTCGAGAGAGCCAATCGGCATCGCGGAAAAGCGACAACAATGAACTCGCAATGCCTTTTTTAGATAGGGATTATTTATTTGTAGAAACAATTGGATTGGAAATTAGAATTAATTTTATTATTATCGTTAAAATTCTAATAATCTTTCCTTTTCTACGTAACACAAGTAGAACAATTCTTTTCTTACACTTGTATAAAAAATCTGTATGGATCATTATTTCATCGTGGAAGAACGCAATCTAGAATTAATATCATTACATTTACGAAGAATTTTTCTAAGATAATGATGCTTTTGTATTCGGTATGTGAATGAAACCAAGAGATAGTCTAAATAATATTCGAGAAGTATATTATCGAATCACGAATGGATACATTTACATATATCGATAAGTACTGTTTTATTATAAACACGCGGTTGCATATTAGTGGAGCTTTCGAAGAGTCTTGTAGCTCTAAGGTGCAAATATATTGTTATTTAATGACATGCATATATGTATAAGCTTTGATTTATAATAAATATTTCCACTTACATATCCTGTTTGCCTTGTTGAAATTTTTGTGTATTGTAACATACACAAAATTTACATACACAAAAATTTTCAATAATTGGAGCACTATTGCAACAGCATATTCCTGAGACTGAATCAAGTAAAACAGTCCTGTACTACTTTTCCCTCAAACAGCTATCGAGATATCATAAGCTAAACATTGAAAAAGTTATAAATTTTCTCTTGAATATCTCTAAAAGTATTAGGCGAATCATTTTTTTTCTGCGATCAAAAGTAAAAAAGTTATTTGGGGTGGGACATTAAATTGGGACACCCTGTATATCTACGTCCCATCTATCTATAATTTAAGATAATGTAATTTTCCGTGAAGATCATATCCATATTTATTCATACAGTTTATAATTAATATACTTATATTATTCGTCGTAAAAACGCCACGATCTACAAGGACATCTGCGCGAGCAGACGTCCTGATGCTCTGATAGCCATATGAACCATTTGGACTTATTGCCAATCGCGGCGGGAGTCTTGAAGAAACGCGGGATTTATCAGCCTGAAAGACGCTCTTCGGCGTCTGTCAGATCGACCAGATGCGGAACGTTTCTACGCGGAGGCCATTGGTCAAGAACCGAGAAAGCCTCACGTCGCTGCCGTGGGTGGTCACGCGGAAGGTACTACGACTTCTTTACTCCCTGAGGCAAGACCGGACGTTCTTTTAACAGGGATTAGAATTTTTTAGAGGAAGAAATTAGAATTCTGATCTAGCATGTCCGAAATGTTGAGAGAAGAAGGGTGACTCAAGTTGAAATATTTTCACGCGACGTAAGATGAGATAAAAGTCCTTTACAATCAATAAAATTACGCTTAAAATATTTGAACTGATGTTCAAGAATATCCACGGGCTTATTGATATTAGATTTCACTTATATTACATACATTAGAACTGTGAAATCTCTATAAAGTTCACTATCTCACAACCTTGCGGCAGATATTTAGAATGCCGTTATAAATATCGCAATTATCTTCAATTGCATCGTTGCAGTAAATTGCACGGCATTGCTACTAACGAGATAATTGTTGCACTAAACAGAGCTGGAGAAAAATTAAATGCAGGTATTGCATTATTTGCGCGTATTACGATGACACATTGCGATGGCAAGTTGCACATTTGCCGGAAGGCTTCCGTATTCTACGTCATGACAATACGCCGTTATCGTACGATACGGGCCGTACCTTGGGCCAAGCTGCGCGAGTAATTTTCCAAATAACACGGGTCCCGCGATCTATCGATCGTTCGTGATCCATTGCGTCGGTCGCGCGGCTCGGAAGGGCTGATATTATCCTCCGAAGCGGAAATTGTGCATTCCGCCACCCGCAAAAAGCTTAACCAATTTCCTCGCGTAACCAATGACGCAGTGACGCAATTTATTTATCACCCGGGGCTGTACTCGGTACGGTTAAAATGAGGCAAATAAATATAGAAGTGAAAGTTCATATCGCTTATATAGCGTCAATTCAAGAAAACAAAAATATATTGGTTCCTCTTAGAAGCCATTTACATATATTACATTTGCCACGCGAGGAACTTCTATCAGCGATTTAATTCCGATAAGATACGAGATTATATTCTTCCTGGAAAGGAAAGTAATTCTGGTCTATCCGACATCGGCGAGGTACAGCTTCGGCGCGCGCGCGTTTCATCGCCGTTCATTAATTAGCGATAGTATCGAGTCGCGGAGTGTTTTAGGGCAGCCGCGGAAAGTAGCTGCGCGCGCGACAGGCGGGGCCCCCGTTAAAAATGCACGTTAGAGAGCATTAGCGTTTCGACGCGAGCTAGATCGCGACGTGAGATCGCGATTAAAAGGCATTTACACGGCGGATTAAGAGTGACGCACGGTCCGACCGTGTTGCCTCGTTAAAAGCGCGGAATTACACGCGCTGGAATTATGCGTAAATCCGTTGGTGATAGCCGCCTTTAAATATCGGCGCCGGTGGCACCCGACTACATAATTCGCCAGGCGAGTCGCAGTAAGTTCCTGAACCTGAATAACTTTATGAGGGAGCTGCGAATTAATAATAGATGCGCTTTGGGAGAGACGGGGCGGGTCGGGGAAGAGACGGGGGTGGAGTGAATTAATTTATGCGATCGCGTGTTTCACTTGGGCATTATTCTAATGTCAGTTAATTTATGTCGCTTAAGTCGCTCATTAGCATTCGATGGCATTTGATTGTATATTATAATCCTTCGAGTTATCTCTTTTCATATTTATTTAAAGAGTCTCTTTTACCGAGCCCGTTTCCGAGGACCTTTAACTCAACGGAGCGTATTTTTAAACTATACGTCTCGGGGAAATAAATTCACGCGTGTCTCGCTCATTCATTATTTTAGATTCTGTAGATTGTCAGATTCCTTTCCAACGTAGAAAAGGTCAAATTTTCCAACAAAAGCGGCCTTTCTTTTTACCCGTGCGACGCCCAGTTAACTTCTTAAATAAACGAGCGATCTATGTTAATTGAAACTAATAGTTACCCAAAATTCCAACAACATTCGGATAAGAGTACAAATTTCCAGTTTTCTAAATTGCCTGATTAAGATTAGAGGACGGAGGGTATTTCTCGTTTCATCGATAGAATCATAAGCGTATCCCCCACGCGGATGATGATAGGAGAACAGGTACGGTAGCGGTATTTAAAAAGCTAGAAGGAGACGGGCCAGCGGATAGCACGCTAACCACAGTGTACCGTCGCATTAGCGATAACGTAAAATTACTACCGAGACATCGTTCCCATGAATCGCGGGATTTCAATGAGTAACCGCCGGTTTTATTGAAAGGCAATCGCTGTTCCGGGTTTCCGCTGTGGAAAAAATTTTGAAAATTCTATACACTGAAAAAAATGATGTTGCAACTACAGCAACAATTTTCTAGACACCAAAAAATAACTGAGACTTATAAATGAATAGCCAATACTGCGAAGTCGGCGCGCGCTTTTACGATCTTTACTTTTTTCTCCTGTACATATATATAACAAATAATTATATAAAAAGAAATATAAATTTTAAAATTTATTTTTAGTTACACACTCGTGTTTAGTTACACAAAATATTCCTCTGAACTTTATAGATTCAAAGATATTTAAGGTGACAGAGTGTCAACGTCAGATTACGTCTTCTTCACATGAAAAAAATCTTAATGTGTGAAGAAGATCACGAGTAAATATAAATTAAAACCAAATAGCGCGCGCAATGCTATTTCCAATAAAGTATTTAATACCAATTTATATTATTATTAAAGTAAATAATTTGATAATTTTTGCCCATAATAAATGAAGATTTGTAATTTAGTAATATACATTTGTATACACCAACTATTGAGGTAAAATCTCTAATCTTAGTAATTAGAATTTAAGTAACAACGATTTTTGTTTCGAAACATTTTCTCGATTGAACAGAATTAATCGTTAATTTAATATATAATTTAATCAGTACCAATAAGTCCGCAGAATGATACGCAAAACGTAGTAACAGTCACGGAACAAAGTAATTAGAAATATTAGGT